AAATCATTAATCATATGTATAAGATACTTATTTTTTATAGTTACCTTATTTAAATCTTTATAATATATACACATCTATAAGGCATCATCCTTCTTATTTATAAATAATATAGGTGCTCCCCATAAAAAATATATTGGGACAGATGAAATCTCTATCCGCTAACTCTTGAAGATATACCTTCAACTCCTAATGTTTCTTAGGTGACATCCGATATAGGCCTTAGAGATCATAGTAGTACCCAAAAAATATCTATATGAAACTCTACCTCTCTATTTGGCAATAAAGTCACTAACTCCTTAGAGAAGATGTTTGAAAACTGCCAAACTATAGGGCACTACTCATAGCTATAAAACAAATCCTCACATCTCTAATAGATGTTAAAAATATTGGACTACCTATCCTCTAAAGTCTATCCACTTCTAGAGCAAAAATCATACAAGGAAGAATACTTATGATTCCCAAAAATACAAAACTCTCACCATTTTGATGTAGAGTAACTTTCTTCTTCAGGCAATTAATATGCGCCTCATATCGTATCATCCAGTTCATACCCAATATGACATCCAATACAAAATTAGACAATAAATCAAACTAGATATCAAAATAAGTAAAATCAATCTTATAAAAAAACTCTAAATTATAGAAATAAACCTTATTACCACCATACTATCTTCTATAAGAAAAATCATAGATAAAGAAATAAGTAATAATACAGAAAGTAAACTAAGAGAAATAAAATACTACTCTTATATAAAAGAATGACAAGCACTCGAATCAAATAAAATATAGTAATATGATACAAAAAAAATGTAAGTTGTACTATTAATAATATCTAAAGATTCAATGGCCTCTTGCTACATTAAACTATAAACCCATGGATGTACTGAAGTCAAATCAATAAAGCTCCCTACACCCTGTAAACCTCTATTTATTGACCTCTTTCTAACAGACTAGCACTCATGGTACCAAAAAACCTCTGAATTTCATCGAGACAATACTATTCTTGGCCTATCCACTATCGGCTATCCAGAGCTTTCAGCTCTCAAATTAGGATGTTTGTTAAATCTACCCTATGGATGCTCAACAATCCTATGTTTATACTAATCATAGTTAAAACACTAACCTGATGCTCTATAACACTGACCATTATGTCTCCTTCCACAATACTGACATAATGGTGCCTCACTGACTGAACATAAGAGATGGCAATACTACCTCCATCCGATTTAGAAGAAATTGCTAATAACTGTCCTTTCATTCTAAACTCAATAGGTCTAAACTTGCTATTTTTTAAGAATGGCTACTGCTAGCTGTCTCGTTGCCAAACTTCTTCCTGCTTTTCATCCATCATTGCTGAACTGCTACCAAATCAGCCTCTATCCTTTGGCCCTATCAACTAACTAAGCAAAATCTATAATGTTCTATGTTAATAATGGCTAACTCAAAGCATCTCAGAGTTTCTCTAGAAACCTATAACACTTCTCTTCATAACTGTTAATCAACTAAGGAGAAACCTGGAGAGAGAAGTAAGCTTTGCCTCGTAACTACATCATAGACATATTCCCCTAAATCATTTAAAAAAAATAAATTAAGACATCAAATAGGTCCTGAATGTCTTGTAGACTCCTCCCAAGTAATCAGAGTGTTAGCACGACCCTAAAACCTCTCATGTTGGCCAAGCCACGTACAAATGTTCAGCCTCATAATCTAACAAAAATATAGCTAATGCAACTCTCCTCTCAAGAGGACAATGCCTCACATCCAAAGTTTTCTCTACCCTCATCAACCAATTCTTAGCTTCCCGTTCATAAAAAAAAAAAATAAAAAAAAATCTTAGCTTCCCTAGACTCAAAAAACCCAAAAATATGGGAGGTTATAATCTCATGAAATTTTGCAAACACATACCCATTTTATCAGAATGAGTACCAAAAATTCATGTATGTGTCTCGCCTACTAGCTATGCTATAGACCTATAATTTGAGAAACTATCTCAGAACTAATTGCATGAGCTTCCTGACTAAAGCTCTAATCATTAGTCATATCTAAATTGAGCTGATCTATCTCAAAGATATTTAACATAGCTGCATGTGACACATGTATATGAAAGTAAACTAAATGAGCTCCCAAAACTATCCAAAATCATATTACTTTTTAATATGTTAAATTATATGGCTATATTATGATTCAATTTTCCAACTGATGCTTTGATACCAAAAGATTTTCATAAACCAACCCGATATGACCTAATACCACAAAGATCATACCATGCTTGATCATGAAAAAAACTAAAATTTGACACGAAGATCAAGGTGGAGAAGTATTGAGAAAACTAAACTTCTAATTTATACACACTGTAGAGAAACTATTGAATATAATATAAAGTGGAAGACTAAATCTAAAAAAAAAAACAATCTATATATCATCCAAAAATTTATGTATAATATGAGGTCCATCTATAATCATACTTGGCAATAGAAAATATAATAAAATAAAAGCCAAGTTTGTAAAAAATGAAACTAACCAAAAAGTATACCTACATCACAAATTTGAGCTTGCTATTAAACTACTTAGCTCACTACTTATAGTTTCCCTAACCGAAAAAATGAAAGCAAATGTAAGAATGAGCTAACATGACTCAGTCGGTTATTGTAGTCTAAAATAGAATTTGATAGCTTAAACCAAACTGAGTAAAAATACTATGTTGAAATAATATGCTTAAGTACTATATGAAAAGCAAAAATAGATACTGATACAAAATTTTTAATATACGATTAAATAACTACTGAAACTAACTTAATATAAACAAAGAATTCTTAATAAATATCAGAATAGGTCTCAGGCTCAATTTTTCCTTGTGAAAAGTATCGAATAAATACTCACATGACCAAAATAGATGAACGACTAAAAGTTACCATAATCTAATAAAAATATATTTTTGTAAAATGAATTATAAATTTGATCAAAAAAATTTCAAAATCAAGAAACTATTAAAATTTGGATAGGAAAAATATAACCTGTCTCATTTAGAACTAGGTCGATGGCTAAAAATGACTCGTAGCAGCTCAATCAGACTTGTCTTTCTATAAAATTCCTTTATATCTCTAACTTCATTGTCCAAGAAATAAAAAAAAAGGAATAGTGAATTTGGATATTCTTAATATTAAAATTTTCTCTAGCGTCGTGGTACCCATGGCACTCGCCACGACGCCGCCTTATAAGACTTAAAGTGCTTCCTCCCACACCACACACTGGAGTGCTAAGTTAAATGTAAATTTTCCCAAGACTTTAATTGGGGTGCTCTAGGTAAAATTTGAAATTTCACTAGCATGCAAACAAACCCCTGAAATTTTCTACAAAACACATGTAGACTTTCACATGCATACAAAATAATATTAAACATGAGCAAAAGAGTTCAAATGAAAAAAAATAACATGTTACCTGACTTTTAGTTAGGCCAGATCGGTTTGAAAAGAACTCTAAATCTAGAGGTCTCATAGTAGTGCATGCCTGAAATATATATATATATATATATACACACACACACACAACGCTGTGGTGCCGCTAACCTTAGTGCCACAACGCTCATAGAGAAAATCTTTTGGAATAGGAATGTGGCTATTATAAGTTTCCCATATTGAGAAAATGTTGTTTGTAATATTATCCATTAGGCCCTTAAAAATAGATAAAATCATTGATCACTGTTCACTTCAATGCTTAATCAAATCACATATTCATTTACAGGTATATGCATGTCAATTAATTAATTTTAGTGCATTTTAATGTAAAAGTGATAACATTCAAAATAAAGAACTATACTAGTGGACCTCTATGGAACATCTCTCACTTCCTTCTAACTCAAACCATATACCATTGGTTGTACGAGTGTTGTCATCACTAGATGTGTGGGCTACCGATGAATTTTATTCAAATTCACATTCCTAACATTAGTCATATTTTTTTTACATACAATGCTTATAAAAATAGGCAAAAATAAACATAAAATAGAGTGTTAGGTGCTCCACAATATGTTGAAGGTGGCTTGAAAAATGAACATAAAATACAACCAAACAGATTAATTGAATGTATTAAGGCTTCGTTTGTGACAACTTTTTCATTGCTTCTTAAAGCTGTTTTTAGTACAAAAAATTTAATTTTTGTATTAAAAAGCTGCTATAAGAAACAATAAGAAAGTCATCCCAAACGAAGCCTAAATTTGATTTCAATATATCAAATTTCTCTCAAAATCGAACAACAACTGTTTCAACATAACTCTAAAAATTTATTAAAATTAGAAGACACTAAATAAACATGTAAGTCTTATCAAATCCAAATTAGATTACTACGTATAAATCCAAAGACTGTTGAAGCTATCTTTATACTTAAAGTTCAATGATTATTTTGAATAGATCTGTTGGCTATTTTGCTCATGGGATAGCTACTACAAAATATAATGTCATCTCATAAAATTATCAATTCATATCATCAACTTGAGGTTGTTCAATTGTTGATGTGTTTTCTTAGAAGATTTAGCTAGCTTGATATCTAATCGAGCTGAAATTATTACGTGCGGTCACCAAAAGCTCTCCGGAGGTGAATCAGGACGTTTAGATATGAATCCGCGCCATGTTACAATTTTATTGTGTATCACAGCTATGTGCTGCTGTGTACCGGGTGGCATGGTGCATTCTGATTTATCTCCGAACCATTCAGTGACTGAACATAATACTTTCTCGGTACTAATCGAGACATCAAGCTTATTATAGATATAATTCTTGTATGATTTTAATTTTTAATGCATTGTATGACATGATAATTATTAAACTCTAGGTACATTTTGCATGCATTGTTTGGCGAAAGATTCATAAAGCTCCTTATATTATACAAAAATCAAATTTATGAATCAATATCATATGTATTTTATAATTTTATAGTATTCAGCATTTAATAATTAATTCCCAATTTTAATGCTAGTTAGGGTTGGCCAAAAATAGTTGCAGCATCTCACTCTTCACGTCGAATGATCCACCGAATCTCTTTTTCTATTATTTTTAGCACTGTCTATTCATAATCACATATCTCAAATACGAAAAGTTCCTCTAAAATCACCTCTGCTTCTTCTCGGTTGATCTGCCAAGTTCAATCTCGTGACCAATGAGCGTGCTCAAAATCTCAGTCGCTTCTTCTTACCTCGGCAGATTCATTCATGGCTCCGGCTCCGTTAACAGAAACCGAGAGCGCGGCATGGCCTCTGCTATGCTTTCGGAACAGCTAGATGGAACCCATAGCAAGGTGACCGGCGATTCCTTCATTCGTCTCCACCTCAAGAAAATTTCTCCGTATCAACCAATCCTCCCATTTGAGGTAATCCATTCTCAGCCAAAGCTTACTCTATTGGAAAGGTCGTCGTTCCTCTCTCATGCATGCTAGCTGTTTGATCGATTTCCTCTTGGTAAAATGCTTAGCTTAGAACAGGTTCTGCAATTGATAGAAGGGATACGATTTTATTAATCATGCACGTTCTGTTAGCTTCTATGCCTGTACTTTAGTTTCCCTTTTGATGGCTCATGTTACTGCGGTTTAAAATTGTCCATTTGAAAGGAAAGTTTGCTGTGCTCGTTGCCTAGTGTTCTAAGTCAAAGGTTACTTGTGAAATATGTCAGGACACATGATGATCCACGATTTACTGAGCTCCGACTTTCACTACTCTGTGCAAAGCTATTGTGCTAACGGCTTGTCCACGTGTCATGTTTCTATTTGTCAACTTCTTCTTAAATACTAAAACACTGTAGCTGCTGGTTCATCTTCATCAATGAATGAATATTCCACATCTTCTTCTTCTCTGCTTTTCTACTGATTCTAATTGCAGGAACTAAGTCTTTATGGTATCAGAGCCTTGACGCAGCTTTTTCGGCAAGCTCCATGACCGAACAAAGCTCGTCTTCCCAAGTTCCTCAGACCTCTGCTCCGGCGACATCATCTGTTTCTGCGGCAATGGCAGAGCTCATCATACCCTCTTCTCTTAAGTTTCTGATGAATAATTTGAAACTGATTGTTCCGAATCAGTTGACCAGTGACAACTATCCGATATGGAAACTTCAGGTTTTCCAACTCTTTTCTGCAAATGGTTTTGAAGGATATCTTACAGGTCAGATATCCAAACCATCAACTTCTCTGGCCGAATCTAATCCAGACGAGTTCAAGCTGCTTAATCTCATTGAACAAAACCTTGTTGTCGCACTTCTCTCTACCATATCTCCGTCTGTTTTACCTTATATATTGAACCTCACGTCTGCCCGGGATATATGGTCGACGTTAGAGCTTCGTCTTCAACCTTCAAATAGGTCTCGCGTGATTCAGCTAAAAAATGAACTCTATCATGTTCAAATGCGGGATCTCACAATGATGCAATATCTTATGAAGATCAAAGCTCTGGTTGATAACATTGTAGCTACGGGTTCTCAACTTGAAACAGAGGATATAATACTTCACATTTTAAATGGATTGCCGCAATCCTATAACCCTTTTAAAACTGCTATACGCACCAGTCAGCAACCCATTAATTTAGATGTTCTCTACTCACTCCTTTGTAGTGAGGAGATTCACCAACAGACCAAAATTCGGCGAGATACATCATCTCTGACAGATCATACAGTTTTGTATGCGAATAGAGCAGCTTCACCACGAGGTCGCAATAATTACAGAGGATCCAGGGGACGAGGAGCTTCCTTCAGAACAAGCTCTAACAACACTAGTCGACCTCCAACTGGTGATGAAACCCATCCTACTTGTCAAATTTGTGGTAAACAAGGTCATGTTGCCATGAATTGTTGGCATCGGTACAATTCTAACTACAGCTCCACGTCTTCATCCTCTGCTGCCAAAGATTTTCTCACCAGTCCGTCCCTCACGTCTAGCAATGATTGGGTACTGGACTCTGGAGCTAGTTCGCATTTAACTCCTGATGCTTCTAAACTTCAATATTCAACTCCATATACGGGACCAGACTCTGTATCCACCGCCAGTGGCAGCTCGCTTCCAATTCTTAATATCGGTCAAGGCATTCTCCCTCTTCCCGATTCTACTCGTAAGCTTAAACTTCAAAATTTACTTCATGTCCCTCTCCTTTCTCATAACCTGTTATCCATTCACAAACTAACTACCGATAACAATTGCTATATCTCTTTTGATGCTCATGGCTTCTGTATTAAGGATCTGGAGGACAATCGTATCCTCATCCGTGGGCGCAGCCATGATGGCCTCTACTCGGTTCCTAATCCATCCAGTCACAACTTCAAAGTTCTTCACTCTACCTCCATTACCTCTAATGTTTGGCATGCTAGACTCGGCCACCCCAATGTCCGAACTCATTAACTGTTAGCCAAAACTGTTCCGTTTATATGTAATCTTGCTTCTAGTTTTCTTTGCACGTCTTGTAATATGGCTAAAAGCCATAAGTTGCCTTTTGTGTCAAAGTTATCTCGTGTATCCAAACCTTTTATGTTAATACATTCAGACGTTTGGAGTCCGGCTCCTGTTTCATCTCTAAATGATTTTTGTTATTACGTACTCTTTATTGATGATTACACGCATTATACTTGGTTGTTCTTGATGCAAACAAAATCTGAAACCTTTCAAAAATTTCAGCAATTTCAAAATCTTATCACAGCAAAATTCAACTCTAAAATCCAAACTCTTCGCACCGATGGTGGTGGAGAATACACCAGTCATGCCTTTAATCAATATCTTCTTAAAAAATGTATCACACATCAGTTAATCTGTCCTTATAGTCCAGAGCAGAATGGGATTGCAGAAGGGATGCATCGTCATCTTCTAAATACAACCCGAGCACTTTTAATTGGAGCTTCTCTTCCGTCCACTTATTGGGCTGAAGCATTGCTTACTTCCACATATCTAATTAACCATCTTCCTAGCAAAGCTATAGCCTCACAAATTCCATTTCAGCTTCTGTACAATCAACCTCCAAACCTTTCACATTTAAGGACCTTTGGCTGTTTATGTTTTCCATGGCTTCAATCCATGGCACCTAATAAATTTTCCCCACGCTCTCATGAATGTCTGTTCTTAGGATACTCTTCTTCCCATAAAGGATATAAGTGTCTTCACTTAACCACAAAAAAATTTCATATTTCTCGTCATGTTATCTTTCATGTGACAACCTTTCCATATAAATCAAAATCTCCTCCTACATCATCTACATCATCTCAGTCTACATATCCAAATTTTCTATCACCATACTTACTACTTCCAATTTCCACTTTACAGTCACATGAAATTCCTCAATCAACTCTTTCTCCTCCATCTATCTCATCCCCGCCTCCATCCTCTTACACCCACAATTCTGTTTCCAATCCAACTGACCAACTCTCAAGCTCGTCCACTACATCTACCGTTCCTCTCCCACCACAACCTACTACAACAAAATCTGTTCATCCGATGCAAACCAGGCTCAAACAGGGCATTCATCGTCCAAAACAGATTTTTGATCTTCTTACCAATCCAATCTCCAATTTCATTCCAAATAATTATAATCAAGCTGTCAAGTTTAAACACTGGCGTGATGCAATGTATGAAGAATTTTTAGCACTCCAAAATCAAGCCACCTGATCATTAGTACCAGCTCCAACCCATGCTAAAATTCTTGGTTGCCGATGGATTTTCAAAATCAAACGAGCTCCTAATGACACGGTTGATAGATATAAGGCCCAGTTAGTGGCCCAAGGATTCACCCAGGAGTTTGACATTAATTATTCTGAAACTTTCAGTCTAGTGGCGAAGATTCCTACAATTCGCATTCTGCTCCTAGTTGCTCTATCGAAGGGTTGGTCTACCCTTCAATTTGACATATCAAATGCCTTTCTACACGGTGATCTACATGACGACATTTATATGCATCAACCTCCGGGTTTTACCAATGCTCAATATCCGAACCAGGTTTGTAAGCTACTTAAAGCCATTTATGGCTTAAAACAGGCTCCAAGGGAATGGTACAATAAGCTTACATCCTTTCTTATTGGTCTTGGCTTTAAATTCAGCAAAGCAGACCCTTCTTTGCTTTTATATATCAATGGCAATGTGCAGATTTTCATACTCATTTATGTAGACGATCTGCTTATTACCGGCAATACATCTCCTTTCATTGAGCAACTCATTCGACAATTAACATCCAAGTTCTCTCTCAAGCAACTTGGCTCTGTGTCCAATTTTCTTGGTCTGCAGCTCACTACATACAATGGTGAGACGTTTCTTCATCAGACAAAGTATGCCAATGAATTGATTCAGGCTGCCGATTTTCAGAACAGCAAATCTGTTCAGACTCCAATGACACTCAAGCCGTCTGTCTGTTCAAATGCCACCGCTCCGTACTCAGATCCACATTATTTTCGGAAGCTAGCTGGTTCACTAAATTACCTCAGTATCACCCGGCTTGATATTGCATATGCAACCAATCATATTTGTCAGACTATGCATCATCCTACCATGGCAGATTATCTTGCTTTAAAACGTCTATTACGATATATACAAGGAACACTCAACTATGGCATTCCTCTCATACCAGGCCAACTTCAACTAACAGCCGATGCAGATGCTGATTGGGCAGGTGACACCATTGATCGCAAATCAATTACTGGATTCTGTACTTTTCTGGGTAAGACACCTATCTCTTGGTGTGTGAAGAAACAAGTCACTGCCGCCAAGTCTTCTACTGAGGCCGAGTACCGTTCTCTATCGTCTGCTACTTCCAGCATTATCTGGTTAAGGACCAACACCTCTCTATTGTGATAATACATATGTGACAGCCATAGCTTACAATCCAGTTTTTCATGCTCGAACCAAACATATCGAAATAGATTATCATTTCATTCGGTATCACATTGATTCTGCTGCCTTAGTGGTTCTTCACATTCATTCACTTGATCAACCAGCTGATATACTTACCAAGCCTTTAAATCCTAGTCGATTTACCGAGCTCCGTGACAAATTGGGCATTCGTTCATCTTCTGCACAATTTGAGGGGGAGTGTTAGGACACATGATGATCCACGATTTACTGAGCTCCGACTTCCACTACTCTGTGCAAAGCTGCTGTGCTAACGGCTTGTCCACGTGTCACGTTTCTATTTGTCAACTTCTTCTTAAATACTAAAACACTGTAGCTGCTGGTTCATCTTCATCAATGAATGAATATTCCACATCTTCTTCTTCTCTGCTTTTCTACTGATTTTTAGTTAATTTTAGGTCGCTTGTTAATGGTGTAGATATACCTATTTCAGACAAGGCAGTGCATGCTGAAAATTAGCTCGCATTGTAAAATTAATAGAAAAATTGGCCTTGGATTTTTATCTATTCAATTCCAATTGAAGGTCCAAAAATAAAAATGCAAGTTTGAAGTGGAGCTGAATGAATATTTATGCATATGTTTAATTTCATGTGCACAGCATAGATTAATTGCCATCTAACTGATTTTCATGAAGTATAGAGCTTACCGGATTTTCGTAAGGTCTCTTGGGTTTGGAACTGCTTTAAATATGTTAAATATAAGATTTTGCTTGAACCAAATTGATTGAGCTGATTTATCCTTGATTAAGTTCATACTTTAGCACTTATTTTATTTCTTATTTAATTTAGTTTTAAGCTTATGTGAGACTGTTATTAATTTTTTTTTGTAGAATACCATGCCTGGTAGTACTACAAATTGCTGGTTTAAATGAAAACATATTATTTGAAACTAACCTGCAATATTTTAATTATATGTGTATAGGCGTATTGGTATGGACTGAAATGAAGTTATAATAGGTTTTCTTCGGCAAGTAACTGCTTAATAGAAGATTATTACCCCTGCTAACTAAAGTGGCTTGAAATTAATAAAGTTCATTACACTTGGAGCCTCTGTCAAGTTTAATTTAAGCAAGTTGTGCATTGCATGCTAAGCTCAATTGATCAACAGTAGTTATTAGGACATGTAATTTTATTGTTTGCTGAGCATGGGCATTCATCTAGAAGGGAGAGAGATCAAAATTTGATGTAAAGCATATTCCCTTCATATGAGACACCTTAAGGCATCCAATATGGAATACCTTATACACTTCAGCTTGTTTTTCACCTTATAAACCATTCAGTTGTTGGGATTTGGTACTGACGTAGTTATTGAATTTGGTAGCTGGAAGAATTAAAATCATTTTTAGATTTCTCAGATGCATCTCTTTCTATGGTTCACCTGAAGTGTGTATTATCACTTGTTTCTCCTGAGGTATTTAAATAGCTTCATTCTGTTTAGGAAGGATTGTATGCTTGTCTCTTGATACAACATATTTGTGATGTTTATTTTCCTGTTTCAACGTGCTGAGAAGGCTTTCAAAATATTCGTCACCATTTTACTGGTTGTATTTGTTTGATGCTGATAAAATTCTGTAGAGTTGTTTATGTTTTTGCAGATTTTGTCTGCACGCCTTGGGAGAAAGCCTGAAGAGATAATCAAGCTTGATGCAAATGAAAATCCATATGGTCCTCCTCCAGAGGTGAGTTTGAGATTTATTTCTACCAAAGAATGTGACTGTATCGATCTTTGCTGTCTTTTTTAATTCACCTAAAAGCTCAATGGTAGCCTAATTCTAGCAATTATAGTAAGTGGAGTGTGGGTGTCACTTCAATAGTGTGGACTTGACTAACTTTGGTCTGTTTTAGTTAGTGCATAGTTCTCATCAGTATAGTGTTCAGGATGTTTGCTGTTGGTCACCAGAATAGAGAGGTTTGCACAATTGAAAACTATGGTGATGGTGCGAGGTGAATTGAAAAGCACACATGAAGATAGATGCGCAATCAAAAACACTGACTTTGGAAGATAATAATAATTGATGAATGAAGAACACAGGGACGGTAGTGTGCTATAAGATAAGTTTGTCAGATGGCTAGGGTCAAGTTCTATTTTAGGTATGCAAAACAACCTGAACTGGCCGGTTTCATTGCTTCCATGTGTTTCATATCTTCTTCCCCTCTTATTCTAATAATAAAGCTTTGGTCATTTTTAAGTCATATGCATATGTTTCTACTGTATAATCAAGTACCTTAATTCATGTAATCTTCTTTGTAACAACTTCTTGATAAAATAATTCTACGGTGATAGAACTAGTGGAATTTTGTATCTTAGCTAACTTGATGATTTCATTATTTTGTTGATGGTGACCTCTTCTTGTGTTTTTGCACCTATTTAGCCAATGAATACTGTTGATTCATTCTCAAAATCAGCCCAGCCTCACTTCTAAAATTTCTCAAGATATTTATTGAATATGCACGCGGTTAGTTCTTTATTTAAACTCCACAGTTCTTACGAAGCCTTTTATATGATTTAAGGAGAAATCAAACACATGAGTGATGAATTTTTAAAATAAGTTCTTAGATGTTCGATATCTCAATCTTTCAATTGTTAAAAATCTTATACAAAAAATAAAGTATTTAAAGTCCAAAATGAGAATTGGAAGGTAATAATTTCATCAATAAAATGCAATGAGGTAGTTTTTGAATAACTTCATCTTTTTCCTTTTCTGTTATAATGATGTCATAGGTGGCTGAAGCGTTGGGAACATTGAAATTTCCTTATGTATACCCAGACCCAGAGAGTCGTCGTTTACGTGCTGCGCTTGCTGAGGATTCTGGTCTTGAAAGTGAGTATATCCTTGCTGGATGTGGGGCTGATGAGTTAATTGACTTAATCATGAGGTTTGAAATCAGAGCTTGAACCTTGTTTTTTCTTCATGTTTATTTAGACTTTCTCCCTTTGATATATTATCTTAATCAGTACGGACAATTATGCCTTTCTTATAATCTCCCACAGGTGTGTGCTTGATCCCGGTGATAAAATTGTTGACTGCCCTCCTACATTTACGATGTATGAGTTTGATGCCGCAGTAAACGGTGCTTTAGTTATCAAGGGTAAAGAACTTTCTTTTCTATATGGGCTTTGCAATGTTTTTTGTATGCTAATGAGGCTACCTTATTTAAGGATGGAGAGCTCATCTTTTCTTTGATCTATCCAAACTTCGCATGAATAGATGAGTTGGGGACATTAAGGCTTTGGATGTGGAGGGGATGCATAGTTGTTGCTATCCTTCGAGTTGGTAGAGCTTGGATTTAGGGTCTTTGGAAAGATTTGATAGAATTTAGCTGATGAGGAAGAAGGAAATTGGATTGGGTGAGAAATTGAAAGGAAGAAGAGGAGAGGGAAAGATGAATAGAGGTGGAAGGGTTTTGGTTATTAGCTGAAGAGAAGGAGATTTGGCTGGCTATGAGTGAGGGGGAGGGAGTTAATATAGAAAGGTTTATTTAATTTATAATCATTAAGTATCAAATTTACAATGACATGAGTTTATTATAGAAATGAGAATAGGCATGAAGGAGAAAAGGGGATACACCATTTGCCAAAATGCTTAGTAAGTCAATCTTTATATAAAGAAGTGCAGCAAGTTATTGAGTTGAGTTTAGAGTCATGTTGGGTATCGATGCTTATGGTTTGATTGTTAGGTTTTGCTTGCACCAATTCCCTTGGGGTGAGAGGAGCTGTCCTTTAAAGAGTGAAGGCCAAGGTATTCAATCGAAAGTGTAGGGACCACACTACATAGCACATTGAGGGGTATTTGTGACTTATTCTTAGGAGGGTGATCGCACAAGAAGACCAAAAAGCGTGTTGTCCAGAAGGGATTGTGGTAATCTTATATGTAATGATATGCTTCACAATGTTCATGGAAGGGGAACAACTGTTGGATGATGGCACAAGAACTTTCCATTGTAATCGCATGAACTCCAGCTACAAACATATTTCTTGACAATTCAAAAAGCTTGGAAGTGTCTTTAAAGTAGAAAAGATCATCGATGTTAAGAATAGGGCTAATGTTAACTTCACCTAGTGATTTGATTAGATAAGCATAATGGCCTAGCTTCTTAACAATTTTGTATGGGCTGGATAATCTTGCATGCATCTTTTTGAAGGTATCCTTTATTAAATTTCTAATCTACACGTTTATACTTTTCATTTTACTTTTTTTTTGTTGCAATCTCATCTATAATGATATGCTTAAATTACTTATACAAGAGGAGATGAGGACAAGTGTCACTTTTTGATAATTGAAGAAGCTCACCCTTTAGACTCTAAGGTTGACCTCCATAATTCAAGTTTCTCATCGACTCACTCTCTAGTTTTTATCAACAATAATAATATCATCAGCAAAAAGCATACACCAAGGTACATCCTCTTGCAAAAATTATAAAATTATAAAATTTTAAAATATCCAAATGAAATGGATCACCCCAAGATTAAAGAAATGATCGATTCACTTTTCATAGTAGTTCAATGGGGGTGATAAGTTTAATATTAATCTGTGCTCACCAAAGTCAATGTATTGTCAAGAATATTGCTATGATCACTCTCAAAATATTTCAATCCGGTAGAAAACATGGGTGCTCTAATGGGATAGTTTTACAATCAAATGACACCTCTAAATAACTATTATGACGAGGGCCTTTTAATCGGCTTGTTTCGTCACATAACAGTACAATTATATTACAGTCATTGTCATAGCCCAGATGTTCCCAAACGAAAACAAAACCATGAGATCTTGATCAGGGCCTATGATAACTTAGGATGACAGAACTATAAGATCTTGATGAGGTTTATCACCATTCTTTCCCCTCACCATCCGCTTTGTATTAACGGCGGTAACTTTTTCTCAATTTAAAATGAAAATAATTGTTACTATATGCTAAGCATTTAGCGTATATTTATCGACTAAACTTAATTGAAAATTTTCTTGTAATTAACTATAGGGTTTACACCTATTTGAAACTTCGAATTAGATTTTATTTAGTCATTGTAAAATGAGGGTGAAATATATCATTGTAAAATGAGGGTGAAATCTGTAGATGGTGTTTTATCTACAATTTAATATTTCTTTTGATAGTTTGACCCAAAAAAAACTCTCCCAGCAAAGCCGGGCATGAATTTTTCAGTGTCCATTAGGCTTTTATGGATGAATCCTTCTCTAATTGTCTTTTGATACAATAGGCTAATTTCATGTGATCTTTGGGGTTCAATTGGTAATGCTACTAAGGTTTAGGGAAACTCTACGAACATTGTTTCTAAGCAATCTAATAGGAAATGGATGTAGAAATTGGGAAAACTAGGAAGTAGAGCACACAAGAACTTTTTATTGAAAGATATATGAAATAAAAAGCATGATACAATTGGATCTTCAATTGGAGAGGAAGATCCTGCTCTCCAAAATCCTTAGCTGACAGCTAGAGCCCTCACAACCTAAGAAATTCTAATTTCAGCAAACACATACCTCCGCTTGAAATCACTCTATTGTTAGTCTTAAACAAGCTCCCCCAATTTCCATCCCAAATCAACCCCCTTTCTTTAAATAATTCTCTCTCATATTTAAATTCAAATTAGGTGTCTTTCCCTAAATAATTTCCTCACAACTATAATTAAAACTTTCCTAAACAATTCCCTTTTGATTAAGAGCCTTTTTAAACAACAACTTTTTGATTATGAAACTTCTTAATTTTCACTCAATCAAATCGTTCAGTCCGTCACAATCATGCCCTTTGTCAATTGAAATGCAATATGATTGACGAGTGGAAACACTTCAGAAAAAAAGTTGAATTGCAAATGAGTAGGGTGAAGATCAGCATAAGCGCATTGAAAACAACATACGTAGATCAATTGAAATGCAATCAAGGTGAAGATTTTTTTGGCAATTATCATTAACAGAAGTAAAAAATGATCGTTAACAGAATTAAAGATGCAGATAACTGTAATATAGATGATCGTTAAGAGTATTCAACTTATGATGCAAGCAGGAGTTGCAACTATCTAATGATGCAGATAACAATATTGATGTAGTGGTGAAGAGCAGCATAAACAAACAGTGAATGAAAGCAATTCAGCAGCATATGCATTAAGCTAGTAAGCAGGAAATCAGTGTGCAATGATTTCAGCAACCAATGAAATAATTTGATGCATGAAATCTATAAGCTGCATTCCACGCCATGTTGCGAACAAGCAATTAAGAATGCAATGGAAATTAGACCTCGCTTCTTCCCTCTGTTACGAATTGGGGTTGCCTCAATAGGGTTAGGCTGATGCGCTTATCATCTCCTTGATTATCCAAGCTCTCCGTGAAGGAAGAGGGGGAAAAACAGGGTTTTGGATATGGAGGGGATGTATTCCTGTTGGATTTCTTGGAGAAGCTTGGTGGAGCACAGGTTTGGAGAAGTTGAAAAGATTTGACGTGACCTAGCTACTGGGGAAGAATGTAATTTTATTGGGAATAAGAAGAGGATGACATGAGGAAAAGAGGGAGAATTTTGAAGAGTTTGGGAGCATATGGGTGAGGGAGAGAGGGACTGGCTAGTATAGGAGGAATTCATTTCATTAATCAACCTATTAAGTTTACAATGCATGGGCATATTTAGAACTGAGGTTAGATATGGTGGACATAAGGGGATAAACCATTTGTCAAAATGTCCAATGGGTACAATCTCATGCCAAAGAAACTCAAATAGCCATTAAGTCTAATTCAGAGTCACGTCAGACTTGGATGAGCTGACTGTCATGTTTGGCCTGCATTAGCTTGTTTCTTTTTTATTATAGCATGCCAATTATTTTGTTCCTCTGCTACTTTGGTTAACGAACAGTTAGACCCATTATCTTCTGATTTTTTTTTTACCATCCTTGAGACTTGTTATACTTTAATGCAGTTCCAAGACTCTCAAATTTCAGTTTGGATATCCCTCGCATTATTGAAGTTGTCAATCTAGAAAAACCAAAATGCATTTTCCTGACTTCACCAAACAATCCTGATGGGAGGTATGTATTTTTATAATTCCCTGAGCATGCATGTTTGCACTGAGCTGTTAATATGTTGTGATTCTAATTTAAAATGAAATATGAATATAATTTTTTCTTAGCTAATATTTAAAGAACGAATCCATTCTCCTGATTTCCCTAATTCTACTCTTGTTTCTCTCAGTATAATTAATGATGAAGATCTTCTAAAGATTCTGAAATTGCCTCTTTTGGTTGTTCTCGATGAAGCATACATTGAGTTCTCTGGTCTTCAATCAAGGATGAATTGGGTAAAGAAGCATGATAACTTGATTGTTCTCCGCACATTTAGCAAAAGAGCAGGTTGGTTAGATGAGCTCTGAATTCCTATGTATTATTATGTTTTAGAGAACTTTGCTCTAGCTCATGATTCAACGCCTTTAGATTTGCGATGTCTTTGTTCACGGTGGATGATACGCCTGTTCCATTTTTGGTACAAGAAAGTGGGCTTTTGTGTTTTTTTGAGGCGGGGGCAAAGAGATAAATAGAGAGTGAACTTGAAAACTTCATATGAATGGTGGGAGTATGAGAGATTTATGTTCATCTCAACTTTGGAATTTTAGGCACAAACTCAATAAAATAGTTTATGAAAAGAACTTGAATTAGAGGTACCATGGATGAAACTTATTTAAATTCGATGGGTCTTCTGTTGCATGCTTGAACAACATATGAATGGGGAGAGTATGAGAGATTTACGTTTGCCTAAACTTTGAATTGTAGTCACAAACAGCTAAATAGACAACTAGAGAACTTGAATTGATGGTTCCTATGTGAAAATTATTTTACATAGAGGTCTATTGTTGCATGGTGTAGATAAGGATCAAAATGGTCCACTGACTCTTTTTGAAAGTTCAAAATTACCTCCAACTATTTAAATGTCTTATTTTAGACTCCAACTTTTTAAATAGAGACTTAAATGGTTTCATAGAAGGACTAATGTGGTTCCTATTTAAAGGTTCAGGGGTCCAAATTGATATTTTAAATTTTAATTTATATAGTTTAGGACTATTTTGATCCTTAAAAAAAGTTAGAGGATCAATTCAACCAATTTCTCTTGCATGCTAAGACACTCCCTATGAATGGGGAGAGTATGAAAGATTTATATTCGTCTTAACTTTGCAATTTTAGGCACAAGCACAAAAAAGTAGAGGCATTTTTTAGTAGGAAAAAGGAGGGAAAATGAGGACATGATCAAGCTGATGAACTTCTACATTAGTAAAAATTCAAGTAAAAACCCTTTAAAAATGCTTGCCCTCATTTGGCAATGATAATCTTTTTAGTATTAAATATTTCCCATATTATTTTAATTTCAATGCCGCACCTCATCAAGAGTTATTTGAATATCCCTCTCAATGACAAATAATTCCGTCATATTCTGTGTACACTGGAGTTCATCTTTACCACATTCAAAGAGTATGAATTTATTTTAAGATCAATAATTGCTCAAAAATTGGGTAAAGTTTTAGTTCAAATGGAAGTTATTTGGCCAACAAGAAGCTGAGCTTGTTTTGTATCTAACTTGAATTAAGCCAAGACTTGATCCAATTCAACTGGCCAAATTTAACAGTGTATGTGCATGCATGCACACCGCACATGACTGAACCATTAGAGGCTGATGCCATTCACTGGCAGCGGTCTAGTGGCAAGGCCTTCCTGATTTGAATTTGCAAGATTTCAAGGATATGATATTTCTAATCTCTCTTATCTATTTTAGGTTAGTGTCTATGATGGGGACATCAGAGCTTGGAGGGTTTATCACCGTAGAGGCCGGAGATTTACGACCTTGATTTAGTCTTTATATTTTTAGTTTTCATATGTTGTAGGAGATTTATGTGGTGTTATTTATTTTATTACAGTTTTACCCTCTCTTGATGGAGCTTTTGTGTTGTTTGGCCAAGGGCCTTCTTGTTTTTTATTCCTTTAATTCTGCATTTAATTGAGCATTGGACTGTTGACCTCTGTACAATACCCAAAAGAAACGAAAATGAAATCATACCTTGACTGTCGGATCCCAGACGTAGGAAACCAGAACTCAGATCATAAAGTCCTCGCAAAATGAGGGCGAAATCTCTGAGTAGTGTCTTATCTACAAACCCATCTGCCTTCCAAAATTTACCTCGGAACTTAGTTCGTTAAAACTCCCTCGCCGAATAAGAAAAGCGAGTGGAGGCCGAGGCCGAATTTTCGGAGCCCACATGGACTTTCAAAATTCTGCATGTAACTCACATTAATTGAGCATTTATCTCAATTAATTGTGACATTTGGAGGTCCACATCCACTTTATTTTTCACCCTTTCCCAAGACAACTACTCTTCCCAAGCAAGCCACATCAGCCCTCTCCCTTTCCCATGGTAATTTTTCCCTTTTCCAAGCCAACTACTTCCCTTCCCAAGCAAGCCACATCAGCCCTCTCCCTTTCCCAAGCTAACATTTCCCTATCCCAAGCCAACTACTTCCCTTCCCAAGCAAGCCACATCAATCCTCTCTCTTTTCCAAGCAACCAACCCCACCTCTTCGCCTCCCAAGCTGACTTCTCCACTTCCATATCCTCATCTAGCTAAAACTTTCTTTTCCCCTCACCGTTTTACCTTTTCAAGGAAACCTAACTTCTTCTAAAGCAACAAGGACATCGATTCAACAAAGAGCAAGAGTTTCAAGGGCAAGCCAAGGAGGAACTTGCCGGCATTTCATCAAGGACTCAATTCCTCCCAACTTGCCGGCATTTCATCAAGGACTCAATTCCTCCCATTCATGAGCTAAGTATCAAACCGTCCCCTTGTTCTTCATCTTACTTAATATTGGTTTTCTCATTTCATCTATAGTAGCATCATCTCATACGTGTTGATTAATCATTTAATCCTCTAAACCCTACCTAAATTTGAGCGATCAGAAACTCTAGTGACTAGTCCTTTAAATTAAATATTGGACTTGTATCAACCCAGGTTAGCTTAGTCTAAATTGATTCACCTATTTTTTATGTTTAGCCTTGTTAGTTTCTTGATCTAATAGTTCAAATTTTCTTATTTTTTTAATGTTTTATGAAATTTATTTTGCTATCTTTGATGTTATCTTAGTATAAATATCTAATTGCATGACTTATTTTGCTTAGTCCTGCATCAGTCTAATTCATGATTGAATATATCTAGAGTTTCCCAAATTCTATAAATAAGATCTCATATGCTCTATAAAAGTCTAGAGCTGTGGAGGGAGATTGGATCACAATTTGACCAATGCTTTTGTTTTTACCTAGTATTAGTGTTGTCATTCTTGCTTTCTCTTGATTTAGTGCTTTCTTCTATTATTGGATTCATTATTTGTGTTATCAACCGCTACCGGAGCCGCTGATATTGTAGTCACCCACTATTATCTAATATTCATTATGTCACTCTTAGGAATTGATGCCACCCATTTTTGTTGTCCTTTGGATTTGTTGTCAAATAAGAAAAGTCCAAAATAGACACTCGACTATTCCTCTATGATCAATTTAGCCCTAGAGTATCACAATTCTCTAATTTAGTCTCTCGTTTATACAAAATTGATACCAAATATCCGTCATAGAACTTTATGGCAAATGGGATCCAAAATTGATCGCAATTTGTCCCTTGATTTTATAAATTGATCCCAATTTAATCTTTGAGGTGACCATTTGAGTTAAATTTTGTATATTCAAAATATTAAAATGGAGAAATGTGTTACTCTGATTGAATTGGCTGTAAATAAATAGTCTGTAGATTATTCTGAGCTTTTTCTCATTGCAATGGGAGCTGTTGTAGCCCATAGCTGTCATCACCTAATGTTGTCTATCCAGAGCCATTGCCCCTCACCATCAACTTTTCAAATTGCCTTTAATACATCATTATACTGGCATCCCTAAAACTATTTGGTAGGGCATGAACTTCTGCACTCAAGTGTTTTGCTTATTGTCCAGGTTCATCTGAAACATTCTCCATGGTTTTTTCCTTTTTGATTTTTCATGTTTAAATCTAACATCTACTTTGTAATATATATGCCTAAAATTCCAATGTCAAAACAAACATTACTCTTTACGCTCTTTTGCATCACGTAAATTTTGTTTGGCATTCAACCCCAATAAAATGCTTTGGAATTTGTTCCTACATTTAAACATTGGAGATTCTCTGTACATTGGCATGCCTCTATGAGTAATTGGTAATGTCGCATCTAAAACTCCGTAATTTGTGGGACCGAAAGTAACTTTTGAAAATTTTCTCAAGAGTGATTAGCTCTGAAATCATCATATCCTGCTGTGGAGTTTCCAGAAATCTGGGTAGAGTTTTTGTTACGGATGTTGTAAGAGCAGATTTTTTTTGCCATAGGTTTTTTCTTTTTGCTTTCTTTTAATGATAAAATTGGCCTTTAAAATGATGCAGGTTTAGCTGGACTTCGTGTTGGTTATGGAGCTTTTCCTCTCAGCATTATCCAATATTTATGGCGGGCAAAGCAACCATACAATGTGTCTGTGGCAGCAGAAATTTCTGCATGCGCAGCTTTGCAGAATCCTGGCTATCTAGAGGTACGTCTGCAGTTTTAGTGTTGCATAATCTTATTGTATAATGGTCTGTTTTAGCTGGGACTTCTTACATATGAGCCTCTATTTTCCTCAATTTCTTCAGAGAGTAAAGAATTTTCTTGTGCAAGAACGGGAAAGATTGTTTGATCTTTTGGAGAAAGTACCATACCTTAAGCCATTTCCAAGTTTCTCCAACTTTATTCTTTGTGAGGTTACTTCTGGAAAGGATGCTAAGAAGCTGAAGGTCGGGCACCTTGGTCATTACTTTCATAATTTTTCTGATTCCTTTCTTTTTCTCTCTTTATCTTCCCAGAATATTTATGTTATACGAGTTGCCACATTTATTTTAATGGAAATACTTAATATGATAGTATGTTGTTCTGTTGATTAGCCACTGATTTTATTTCATATACTACGATGCACATTTTGTGAGCATGAACTGCTTTCCATGTTTAGAGTCGGGAGTTTTTTTAGGAATTTGGCTGCCCCTCATTGTATGATTGTATCCTTTCCTTTGTTATAGATATTGTTTAGTTGTGTTTTTATTTTCTTTTCCTAAGATGGAACACAATCGATGGTTTCCACATAAAACCAAATACTTTGTATATGTTGCCATTACGTGGATGAAAAAAAAACTCAATTTAACATCGTTTCTGGTCAAGTTACATAAATTTTTAGGATCCCATCGTCTTCTTTTGCTATATATGTTAGAAATCTGCAACAAGGATGGAGGTCAGCAATAGGGACGGTGATGATGGGCCATGGCTCCAATCTAATGAGATGAGAAGGCATGGTTACCATCCTCAAGGATCTTAAAACATGAATAACTTTGGCCTTGGCTCAAAACCAATCCCCACTCGACAATTTTACAACAACACAGATAATTTTCAAACTGAATGGCCCAAAACCATGGTCTGTGGTCCCTAATTATCAAGATGAATTTTTTTTTGCAATGATAAGTTGGGACATTTCAGTGGTGATATACCATAGCCATAACCACATGATCCTCTTTCAAAATGTGTGGAACAGAGAACTTGATTGTCAAGGGATAGTTGATTAATTCAATGAATCTGTTAAGCTTCTTGACATCCAAGAAGGAAGGGCACTTTTAGAGTAGGTGTAGACTCTAAGGAGCGGAAGAAGATGAAAAGAGAGACCAAATTTTTTCATTCCATAACCTTTTCTTATAATAAGTAGTGTATTTATAATATTTGGTAAGATCAAATTTACAATATAGAATTGGTCTATCTAAAATAAATTAAAAATTGAATAAAAGAAATGAAATAGTGCTTATTACATATGTACAGACCTTTTAGTTTGCACTTTATTTGGCCAATGATATATTGTTGTCCTTTGCTTGTTTGTAGTGTCAATGTGGAATGTTTTTGGTTCCTTCTTCTTTGGTAAACTTTTATGCTTTTAGGTTGGTCTATCATGTTTGTAGCCCATGCTTCACAATTTGATTATACTATTTTAGGATCAAATTATATTTGTTGATGGTTAACATTCCCATCACCATGAAGAATAATCTTGTCCTTAAGGTTGAGAGAAAGAAAATAGGAAGAGAGTGCTACAAAATTTTCCTATATGACATTATTCGGTAGATTTAATTTCCATTGCAATAATACTTGACGGGGAGGCTGATCGCAAAGTTGTATAATGCATGAAGCTAAAATGATATTAAGGTACAAGGAGTGGTTAGTTGTTATAATTGAAACTTGGTAATTGTGAATTTTTTAGTGGAGGAGCCCTTTAAATGGTTTTAGAAGAGAAATATGAAAAACATGATGAATTTTACTTTTCAGGCAGAAGAGTAAGGCAGTAGACCATCGGGCTAATAAAATCTTTAATTGGGAATTGTCTAAAATGTGATGCCTCAGAATCTTAATTAAAAAAATTATTCTATTATCTTTTAGTATACAATAATCAAAACTATCTAATTTCTTTTATCATTATAAATACCAGCGGAAATAAAACTATCAATCAAAACATCAATATATATATATATATATATATTTCCCTAAAAATTATATACATTCCTCAGAATATATATAATCATATCATAACTACTCTGTCATGAGTACAAAAGAATAAATAAAATAATAAGAATTTGAATTTGAAGGATCCTGATCAATCTCTCACTCCTGCTCTCTTGCTCTAACCTGAATCATTTAACATGTAATGAGTTTAAGAGCCTAGCAAGTAACTAAATCCTACAACTGAACTCAAAATATAACAAAAGAGCAATGTGCATATTATTTGTCAAATCATAGCAGTAGTATTTATATGATTATGAATCAATGCAGAAAAAGTAAAACACATATGCAATAGCAGTAAATTCTATAACCAGTAAAGCAATGTGGTACAAAAACCAGCAAAGCAAATACAATAGAGAAATTGGTAAATTATTACATGTGTTGAATTACTAAAGCAATGATCATATCAGTAGAGAAATCATATAAAGTGATAAAATTAAAGCATCTGCAAAGATGGTTGAAATCATGTCAATGTGGTAAAATCATATAGGAGTGTACACATATTATCCTGACATTCTTATCAGTATCAATTCAGTATATTTTGTGCTCAATATGTCAAATGCCTAGTATTTGTATAGTGAATCAGTAGTATCAAATAATATTAATGTCTATATCGCTAATAGTAACAGTCCAACAACAATAGAAATCAAATAATACAATAATAGTAAATATGTGCAATAATAATAAATCCGTACAGTAATAAAAAAGCTTCAATAACATGTATTTCAGTTGTCACACCGAATCATATCAGTAAAATAATATAATAATAATAAATTTGTACAGTAATAATAAATCAGTACAACAATTGGAAGATTGTACAATAACAATGAATCAGTAACATGCATTTCAATAGTCACACTAAAAAAATAAGAATTCTTGGCTTAATCATTGTTTTTTTAGTATTGTATTAGTATCAATAAATCATTGCGTTAGTAAATAAAGTCATCACTTTTTGTTAGTCGGCAACATAATCATTTCCTTATAATCTCAATCAGTATCACGTGAATCTGTAGAGGATAACACCAAGCCACAGTATTTAAAGGAAAATCTATTGGTCCATCGTACGAAAAATTTCAAATAAATATTCAAAACTTTCATAATCTCAATTTCTATAACATATAAAAAGTTACGCAATGAAAATTTTACCAATATAAAATTATCCTTGTTTTTCAGTAGCAGAAATACAAATTTGATAAAAAAATATTTCAAAAATATGAAATTATTGAAATCAGAAATAGGATAATGATTCTTTATAATGAAACGAGCAAATCTCCTTACTGGATCGACTAACGAAAATCACTCTACGGCCTCTAAATCTTAGATTTCTCTCCTTTTCCTCCTTTACCCTTGATTTTCATTTTTTATTTCTCTGGTTTGGGAAAAAAATGAAATGATGACATATATAAAGTTTTGTTAATGGATTAGGATTTTATAATAAAATAATAGTATAATATTAATATAATTATATAATTTAATCAATTTTTAGTATAAAATTCATATAAAACTTTTTGGACTTTCAAAAATTGTAAAAAAATATCAAAAAAATAATGTTAAATCCCAACCATCTCTTGATATTTTGATCCCACGGTTAAGATGGGGATCCATGGGAAGCTCACCTGGATTGCGCCGATCTCTGCCATCACTTGCCATTTTGATCCCATGTTTAAGATGGTGATTCGTGGGAGGCTCACCTGGATTGCACCAATCTCCTTTCATATTTAGGTGGCTGATTTAGGAAGGATTATATTAGACCAATTATGTATGATTATGTAATTATTTATTTCTTTATTAAGATTTGTTGTATAGATCTATAAGTAGGGACAAGTTTATGCAATAAAAGTATGCCTTTTCTCTTAATTTAACATGGTATCAGAGCCTAAAGTGATATTATATGTGTGTTCCACCAGCAGCCTTCATTGCCGATGTCATTTAAAGACTAAAGAGAAGGAAGCGGAGAGGGGCAAGAGGCCTTCTCTTGCTATTTCTACTACTCTTATAACTAACACAGCCTTCATTGCTGCCCTACTACACCTTACTAACTTGATTAATTAATATAACCTTCATCGCTATCATTTGCCACCAAAATGTCTAAAGCTAATTCCTCCCAAAGCTCTATAGAGGACTCTATGGTGCAACAAGGAAGAGAAGATCTCCAAAATATGCAAGCTTTCTATCTATTAAATGTGAAGAATTATTTGAAGTGGTCTCAATTTGTGAAGACTTGAAAGGGAAAGGAAAGATAAATCACCTCCTTGGGCTAGGACCAAAAGAAGAGTATCCTAATTTTTGGGCATGGGATGAAGTAGACCCCATGATCATGTCATGATTGTGGAATTCCTTGACTCCAAAAATTAGCGATACTTTCATGTTCCTATTTACTGCAAAAGACACATGGGATGCCGTCAGGAAAACCTTAAAAGCTCGGGATGCTACACAAACTTTTGAAATTAAAGTCAATGTGAGAAGCGCAAAACAAAGAAGTAAGACTGTGACTAAATATGCCAGTCTTCTTCAAAGCTTGTGGCAAGAACTTGATTACTATAGATGCATAGAGACTAGGTGTCCAGAAGATGATGTTATCTTGAAAAAACTTTATTGAAAAAGATAGTTTATGACTTTTATTGCAAGATTAAATGTGGAGTTTGATCAAGTTAGAGTTAAAATTCTTGGCAAAGAGGAGACTCCTTCATTAAATGAGACAATTTTTCTCATTCGTGTTGAGGAAAGCCAATGAGGGGTAATGCTGGAGCTAAAAGTAGTTGAAGGTTTAGCCATGGTGTGAACTAAAGAGGTGTCATGGAAGGAAAAGTATAAGGATTTCTCAAAATCTAAAGACAAATACTCCATTTAGTCTAGCTATTGCAAGAAATCAAAACACGGAAATGAGACATGTTGGAATATCATGGAAAGCCCGGAAGTAAGGAGTGGAATTGTAGAAGTTGACAAAATGACACATCACAAGCCAACACTACAACAAGTTAGTCTAACCCAAAAACCTAGTATAACTTTAGAGAGCTCAATAAAAAATATTTTGATAAACTAAAATAACTCTTGGTATCCATTAAAAAATTGCATGCATCTTCTTCTCTTTCACTTTCAAGTAAATTTCCTATATCTATTAGATTAAGTGCCTTTAGAAATCATTTGAAAGCATTACGGATCATTGACTCAGGAGCCACAGATCACATGACATACTTTACTACCCACTCCATCAACTATACCCTTTGTCAAAGTGACAAGAATATCATCACTGCTGATGGTTCTCTTATAATAGTAGTAGGCTAAGGAGACATACCCGTATCCTCCCTCAAAAAAAAATATGCTCTTCATAACTCAATTATCTACAAATGTAATCTCTATACAAAAACTTACTAGTGATCATAATTGTCAAGTCTTATTAACCTTATTTATTGTTTATTTCATGGCTAGGAATCGGAGGAAGATTAGATTTGTTAAGGAGAGAGATGGATTGTATTACCTGGAAGATCTGAACAAATCTAATATTATTAATAATGACAATGTTATCCATATTTTATAAAAAATTTACTATTTGGCTTCATCATTTTAGATTAGGACATTCATCTTTTGATGTCTTGCAAAATATGTAGCAAAAATTTTTTTTTAAGTTGGAAAATGTATCTTGTTATTGTGAAACCTATGAGTTATTCAAACATAAAAAAATTTCTTTTCCAAACAAATATGAGAGATGTAATACTCCATTTTACCTTATTCATAGTGATATTTGGAGACCCTAAAAAATTCCTAACATCTCAGGGGCACGATGGTTTATATCATTCATTGATGACTGCACTCGAGTCTCTTATATTTTTCTTCTAAAAAATAAATCCGATGTTAGCACTATCCGTCCTATTTTTCATACCATGATACAGAAATCAATTCGGGATAAAAAGATGCATCAAAGCCAGGAAAACTGAGGACAAAACTAGTATGGATAATATAAGGTTTTGGCAAGTGTATTACAGGCGTATAAATTCAAATTATGTTCTAAAGCATATCCATGAATCTGAACCGTCTCATGAAATTGAGTTAAATACAAGCTCACCAAAAAAAAACCTCCCTTGTATCCCGTAACCAACTTTGTATCATTTTATAACTTCTCACCTTCACACAAATTTTTTCTGGTTACACTAAATAATATTCATATTCAATTCCTAATGATATTTCTAAGGTCTTATACGATGAAAATTGGAAAATGCCATGAAAGATAAAATGCAAACTTTGGAGAAGAACAATACATGAGAGATCATCGACCTACTAGTAGGAAAAAAATCAATTGGATGCAAATGGATATTCTTTGTGAAATACAAAGCTGATGGTAAATTGAAAATGTGTAAGGCAAGATTTGTGGCGAAAGGGTACACTCAGACGTAAGACATTAACTACCAAGAAAAATTTGCACCTATGGCCCAGATGAATATCGTGAGGATCTTGCTCTCACTAGAAGCTAATAACAACTGGCATCTGGAATAGCTAGATGCCAAAAATGCATTCCTATACGGGGACTTGGAGGAAGAAATATTTATGGAGAATTCACGAGGATTCAAAGAGAATCTGAGGGTGACAAAGTGCGTAGTTTAAAAAAAGTTCTATATGAGCTAAATAAATCACCTATAGCTTGGTTTGGAAGATTCTCAAAAGTTAAGCAACTTAATGGTTACCGACAGAGCCAAGGCGACCATCATTATTCTCTGAGCACTCAGACTCAGGAAAAGTCATAATTTTATTAGTTTATATGGATGATACAATCTTGACTGGGAATGATGAAAATGAGAGTGATTATGAGGAAATGTCTTGCCAAGAAATTTGAGATAAAAAATCTTGGTAGATTAAAATATTTCCTTGGAATTGAAATAGTCCACTCCAGCAGATGAATCTTCATTTCATAATAAAAATACATTAATTATTTTCTTAAAGAAACAGGTAAGCTAGCTATAAACCAGCACCAACACCTGTAGAATCAAATCTTAAACTGGGGGAAGCTAAAGAAAATCTAAATATAGATAATGGAGCTTACCAGAGACTTGTGAGAAAATTGATCTACCTTTTTAATAGCATGCCAGATATAACGCTTGTTGTATGCATGATCAACTAGTTCATGAAGCATGGTTAGACAGTTTATGAAAAATCCAAAGCAAACTCACATGCAAGCTGTAGATTGAATACTACACTATCTTAAAGTGAACCCAAGGGATCCTCTTCATAAGAGGAATAACCCCAGAAGCATATATTGATGCATATTACACATAATCACTAGCAGATAGACGATTTATCTCAGGATACCGCACATTTGTTGGAAGAAACCTTGTTACATGGAGAAGCAAGAAATAGAATGTGGTTGCAAAGTCTAGTGAAAAGCAGAATACAAAGATATGATATTGGGAATATAGCTACTATGGATTAAGGTGATTCCAAAAGACCTTATGATGAAGTGGGAATGGCACATAAAGCTGCACTGTGATAGCAATCAACATAACTCACAATCTGGTTCAGCATGATAGGACAAACCCATAAAAGTGGTCAAACATTTCATAAAGGAGAAATTAGACAACGGTATTATATGTGTCTACCATGTCTCATAAAAAAATCAGCTTGCAAATATTCTTATCAAGGGATTTGATAGCTCTTCCTTTCTGGGTCTGATTACTAAGTTGAGAATGATATATTTGTATTCCCCAACTTGAGAAGGAGTGTTAAATCCTAGCCGTCCCTAGGCATTTTGATCCCACGGCTAAGATGAGATCCATGGGAAGCTCACCTGGATTACAGTGATCATTGCCGTCCCTTGTCATTTTGATCCCACGGCTAGGATGTGGATCCGTGGGAGGCTCACTTGGATTGCGCCAATCTCCTTCCATATTTAGGTGACTGATTTAGGAAGGATTACATTAGAGCAATTATGTATGATTCTTTAATTATTTGTTTATTTATTAAGATATCTTGTATAGATCTAAAAATAGGGACATGCTTGAGCAATAAAAGTAAGCCTTTTTCTCGCCCCAATTCTCTGAATTTAACAAATAGTCAAATTTATTTAGAAAATTTTGATGAAATCGGTTTGCAAAACGGACTCCTAACGACCCTCCAAAACTCACTTGTACTGACATATATCAATTTCTTAAGGATTTGCACCACCACCACCACCAACAACAACATCAACACCAAGACTTTATGTTGGCTACATAAATCTTTTTTCTCCATTGTTTCATGTTAAGAATCAAATTCTCATTTAAATCTAATAAAGAAACGTCATTTCTAATATTTACTAAACAAGTTTTTTTAGGTTTACCTCTAAGGATTTGCGCAAATGTTTAAAAATTATGAAAAATTTAGTGTAATTAAATCACTACAATATCTATGTTATGGTGGAGATGGTTTGTGATTTGGACTTATTATGACTCCTAAAAAAAATTATTTGATTGGATTATTACTCAAAATATAATTTAGTTAATTTAGAATGTGTGCGGCTGACAACATAATATTGTCTGAATGGTTGTAGTTTAAACACGACCAAGTCACCAAAAGCGCAAATCTCTTCAATGGTGATCTGCCTTTATTTTTATACGATTTTGTACTTGTTATATGTTTTGTTGGAGTGTTTGGAGAATTGTGTCATGGTTAGTTAAGAAAGTATCAACGACGTGGATGTGAGAAATATCATGAATATAGGAAGGGATGGCCATATAAAGCATGTGATGGCATGATGTATTGTGTATGGCATGATGTATTGTAGTATAATTTAGCTCAACGAATGGCTAGATTGCTCATTTGATTGGTTAGAGTTATAAATTATGTTTTAAAAATGATGAATTTAGTTAAATCAATCATTTGATTAGTTGTAGTGAGATGTTATTATTATTGAATTCAAATTTTACAGACTCTCTCCAAAATACTGGTTTTATTTTCATAATCAAATTAAGAAGCATGTTTCTTTCATTTTAAAACATTTGGATTTGTTTTGAGATTAGTGCAATATATAAATAACATTTCAACTCTTGTATTGCACTCATCTCTATGCTTCTTGTGAAAGCTAAAATCATCTAATTTATATTATACTTACCATTTCCCAGGAAGATCTTGCAAATATGGCTGTCATGATACGACATTACAATAACAAAGAGCTGAGCGGCTTTGTTCGGATCTCTGTTGGAAAACCTGAGCACACAGATTCACTAATGAAGTGCCTCAAACTCCTTGAATAAAAGATGCCCTCACACAAGACAAGTATGCAAAATTTCCATGTTTTGCTAACTTCTTATTTGCAGATTTGAACATTTTATTTTGGCAATGAATGTTTTAGGTTAGCCAATTTTAAGTCTATGAATTTTGTAGGTATTTATCAGTTCATGCTAAGATCACCCCCATCTCTGTCCCCTTTGGCTCTTCAATTAGTTTGCTGCTTTCGAACTATTGAAGCACAGTTCGTTCTTTTTATGCCAATTATTTATAAATATAGGCCTTCTTGATGGACATATGTGCTGCAAACGGTCCATTTGAGGCATTTGTAATTGTTTGTGGAAGTAACCGTTAAATTATATTTTTTCGCAACTCATGCTGCATCCACTGTATAGATCTCATTCCCGAAGTCCTGTTTGTCGCTCTGGAGTTGGCTAATCATCAAGTACTCAAAAATCAACTATTTAAATACATGCGTAATTTAGAGGATCATAATTTTTTATAAAGCTGAAATATAAAACTCGAAGGAGTAGCTTTAGTCATCACAGTTTAATATGGTATAGCAAATGCCCCTCTATATTAATATACTAAATGAACTTCCTTGTTCCTTAAATTAAGATTATATCGGATATATACTAAATTGCTAAGCAGTTGATGCTAAAAAAGATTGCATCCATTTGAGTGAATTGTTAAAAAACACACTTTAATTTCTTTAACATCTTGATGAAGATGACATTTGACTTAAAATTTGTATTTCTGATTTCTGCAAGTTTAGAGTACTTGATCCGAACAACTTCCACCGTTTATTTATAGAATGTCAGATTAAAGAGCTTAGTGAATATTCATATTTGTAAAAATAAAGTAGAAGAATATATTAATATTAAAAAGGAAATTTACCAAGTTACATTTCTCTTGCCATTGTGAAAGCAATTGGCTTTTCAAAACTTTCTAAGGTATCTCGAAAAAGTTTGATCTTATTCATCGTAAATGCCGGCTTTGGGCAAATATCCCTATTTTCAATTAACTTAACAATATTTTGTATAATTTCTGGCTTATGATAATAGTTCTCTTTATCGTATTAAAAGTGAGGATTGAGGAAAGATGTTGTAGAGTGAATGTCTTGCCTAAGTTAACTATCCCATCTTCTATTTATTAAAGGGGTGTATGACTTAAACAATCTCTTTATATTTCAAAACATTGCTTTGATTGCCTTTTGTGCTTTATATATATTATCATATAAAAATCCTAATGAATGTTTTTTATCTAAGTCGATAATATGCAATAATTTGATCAACGAACTTGATATCATTGATAGGCACCCATTCCAAATTTCTATTTTAATGGATTAAGTTCCCTGGTAAATTTTCAGAAACCAGATTAGGCATGTAGATAAGACACTACTCAGAGATTTCGTCCTCATTTTGTTAGGACTTTTAAAAAAATGATTATTAAAAAAAGATTTAGGTAATATAATATGCTGAACTGTATCAACTTATTATGTACTCTTCATTTTATTTTCAAGTCAGGGCAGGTGTAAAAGGTCAGTTGAGCATTCAAGGCTAATTTTTTTAGTCTATCTGGTGTATAGGTACCTTTTTAATTTTTGTTTTAGATTTTTGAACGGTCCTAGCATTTTTGTTTATCCTTCGTTGTTTATGTCTATTATTGGGGACTATTATTATAGAATCTGTACAATATATCATTAATAGATAAATAAAAAGAAAAAAAAATTAGGATGAGTAAATTTATGTATAATAGAAAGTTAGAAGCTATGGTGTCTATTATTTAGAAAAGAAATATGATATTTCTCCAAATAAAAGATCTTATCCTATTATATTTCACCTCTATTTTGTCACCATCCAATACTGTGTGACCTACATTTGTGGGTCATATCAGATAGGTTATGACAGTCTTTTCTTTTCTATATCAAAGTGGTTGTTTGGAGAAAAAAAATTATAAACATAGCTATATGAATATATCTATAGTCGTATGAGATAGTTCTGGGTAGTATCATTCATCTATTTTGCTTTATTATTTTTGTTCATGTTTTAGTTGTTGTATATAGTGTGAGTTCTAATGATCAACCCAAGCATGATATGAATGATGGGCATAGTTTGAGCCATATTGCACTAATAGTTAGTACAACCACTACTATTGGGTTTGATATGATGTCATAATTTGTTGGTTTGGCAGCACAATTTATAAGCAAGAGTTCTTATGGTAGGACTGAGGATGCAAATCAGTGTTTATAAAATTTTTTGAGATTGAAACCTCTGAGATTAAAGGGTTCAATTGAGCCTATGTTTGCGAAGGTTCTATTAATGAGGCTGGAGAAAACCTTTTAAGGTTTGTAGTGTCCTCCTAGAGGAGAATACCTTTGGCTATATTTTTGGTAGATGGTACAGCTAAGTGCCAGTGGCTAGTCCAATAGTAGTGAGAGGTTGAAGGCTGGTTTGTACCTCTATTCATCTAACAGTAAATATGAGAGACATTTTTAAGATAGATTTAGGGGAGTAGAAGAGGAAGAGTTTATTTCTTTAGCTAGGTGTGCTCTATAGCTTATTAGTACTTTTGGAGAGAAATGTTACCATTTTTTTAGAGGCTTATGAGATGCACTGAGACTGTTGTTGATTTCATTCCAAATTACTAATTTTTTTAAGCTCGTTGGGTAAGTTAGATTGATTGAGGATGATATGACTATTACTTAGCAGTGATGGGATGCTAGTTGAAAGAGGTTTGATAGGGAGCCATATAGGAGTGGGGTTTAATATTTTGGAAAGATAAGTAAAGTTAGACCCTTTGAGATCAAGATAGACACTTCGTCTAGGCTGATTTCTATTGGCAATAGCAAAATTATTATTTTTAGTGATGTATAAATATACTTGAGTTATGGTAGGATACATACAAGGCCATATTACGAGATGAAGTTATAATATTTTTATTGTGGTCAGAGTCAACATAGAGTTACAAAATGTCCACAGGGGCACCTACTCATCGTTTTTATGTTCATTTTGAGAGTTTTGTGAGATTATTAAGGAGATTGAAGACTATTCCACCTCGGAGATATACTGATGCAGCTTCTAGTAGAGGAAGTGGTCCCATGATAGGACACAACCTGTAGGTGCTCTAAATCTGATTCAATTATGTGCATACAATCTTGTGGACAAAATTTTATGTAATGCCCACACATGATTCACTTTAATAAAATATTTCTTTTATAAAATCTGCATAGATTAATATTATTCCTTCCTAAAGGATAGACTAATGTTTCACTATCAATTTTAAAAGAAAAACTCAATTTATTTTCATAATAAAATGCAACAAAAGGAATATTCAAATTGCCCTAAAGGATAAAAAACAAATTTCACTTATCATTTTGATTAAGAAACTAAACCAAATGTATTTATTTTTATAATCAAACACAGCATAAGAAATATTTATTATACAAAGAAGGATAGAAAAAATATTCACTTATCATTTTAATTATGAAAGTAAATCAATGTTTCAAGCTAAGTCTGTGTCCACAAGTTCTTCCCCCACCATAGAAAAGAACTAAGAATGGGTATATTTTATTACTATGTTCTAGACTTCCTATAAGTGCAAACCCTTATACCCTTATAACTAATTACATCTCAAAAGAGAATAAACTCAATAAAAGTGAATATTCAAAATTTTTAAATTCATATAGATTTAAAGAAAGGCTTAGGCTATCAAATTTTAATTTATAAGGTTTAGATTATAAATCTTTAATCTTAATTTGGAATTAAGATTTAGGCTTTGAATTTTAAGTTTTGGAAGAATAGAAAGAACATGCCAAGACTGAAGGGTATATACAATATGAACTTACACTTGCCTAGAGTGAGCTGCCATCTACTAATCTTAATCACAATTAATCAACATATGAATGCAAGATTAGATGGCTCTATCCTAGGAATCAAAGAATTATAATTTGAAGAACTTTAATTAAGGTTTTATAATATTTACAATATCACTTAATGAATTGATGTGTGAATAATAATGTATAAATAAAAATCTTTCATTCATTGGTAATTTCTCAAAATATAACCCAAGATCTGTTGTATGAAATAAAGGTAACCAAGCTCCACCAATAATAAGCCAAGATTTCTATTCCAATAAAAATACATATTTGATTATGTTTGTTTATTATAGATTTACACTCTTTTGGCTTCTGAATCTTCTATAGAACTCCAAAAAGATAATGATTTTCAAAAGAATAATAATAATTTCTCTTTGGATTTTATAAGTGTATATAAATAACCATTTTCAAATCTTTTATAATTCTTGACATTGTATAACTTAATCTAGCTATACAAGAATCTAAAATATTTGCATTTACAATACTACTTTTATATTTACATCATCATCTAAGTACATTCTACTTTATAGAATATAAAGGAGTATTTTATATATAAAAGAATGCACATATATGATGTTGTGTGAGTGTATACAAGTAAATATTAAACTCCCTAAGAGCCTACTCCGAATGTGCACCAAGATATATATAAATATGACATCTAGGGTACAAAAATCTAGGGTTGCATATGCTCTGATCTTCATCTAAAAATTGAGTCTCATTAGAAAAACTCAAAAATAACCTTTTTATTTAGTAGGATATCTCATGTTTCTATATTTAATAGTAGTAATTTAATTGCAATTTAGCAAAACAATTTCTCATGGGATCATCACTCTTCTCTATCACTTTATTACCTAACCAGAATGTTTACTTGTGTATCTCGTGGGCTTTTATTATTTTTATATCAAAAAAATCTAAGTATATTCATATTATATGCTAGCTTTGTGTGTAGCTAACCGTAATCCAAGCAAGCCCCACCACCTTCAGCAGTGTTGGGTCAAAATTTTTATGTATGTAAAAATCTGACCGATGAAGAACATTAGTAAGTTCGAAAAATAAGTAAGTTAATTCTGATATATGTTGGACTATTTGAAATAATTGAAACACAACAATAACAACAACAACAACAAGCCTTTATCCCACTACGTGGGGTCGGCTACATGAATCCTTTTTATCCATTATGTCCTATTAAAGGTCAAATTCTCATTTAAATCTAATAAAGAAAGGTCATTCCTAATATTTTCTAACCAAGTATTTTTAGGTCTGCCTCTACCTTTCTTAACATAAGTCAAATCTAATACCTTTACTCTCCTAACCGGGTAATTGGAAGGCT